CATTATTCGATGTAGTTCAACTGCTTGATGGATTTGATCGATCCACGTACTGTGCGAAAGAGGGATATTACACTGGAACTAACGTCCAGAACTTATCGAGAAACGATGTAAGTTATTAAACACAAGGAGCAACTATGGATACGGACTGTCGAGTAAATAACTCAGTGAGAAGCTGTCGTTCTTCAATCGGACGCTCAAGCATGGGAACAGACCGAGACAAACGGGTCGAAATAATAATTTCGATGGCGGGCGTCAGTCAAGAGATTATCAAAGCAGGTCAAAAGGGGTAATATGTCATGTCCGGATATGACTTCACACGATTATTAGCTGTTGAACACAGCCTACCAACAAACCTGCATTCAAGAGGGCCGAAACGTCGTAGGTGTAAAACGTGACAATATTTCGTTGTGTATAAAATAACCGTTTATGGTCCGTTCTGTGCATATTACGTAAAGCTGAGGGCCTGTGGCTAAAGTTGAGGTTCAGGGAAGAGAGATCCACAATAATGACAAAAAGTTCAGTCACGCAATGTTTGCAACACAGCAACAGCTAACCACTGTCGGTAAAGGTTCACTGTCAGAGAAGATGCGATCATTCAAGAAACACCGTTACCACGTGAGAAAATTCTGGTAAGACCCAAGATGATTCATGAATTTTTGCCCTCTCCGTGTGCCTGGTGTTCATGCTTTGCCAGGGCACCGAAACGCCGCATAAGCTGTTAAATCCATCATAACACGAGCACTGAGCGTGGAAAAAATACCAGAGGAGACGCGTGGCCCATTTAAACGGATGTTCTTGGGCATTTTGGAACAAATGACAGGGTGAGAACGTTTGTGCGTAATACTAATGGAGCGGTACAGTTTACATTCCAGTTGCACATACATCAATATGCTACTACTTCTCTGAATGACGATTTGGTACTGAAGAGCTTGGGTTACAGTTTACGAAGTTACTACAGTACAGTCATCCAAATCATTGAGGTATTGAGTAGGAACCGATGAGTAAGTGGCAAGGGAAATGCGCGGCGAAATACTGCGGTTGTGAGAAAGTTTCTGCTCCTTTAAACCAATTCGTAAGAAGACGAGATTTACGTAGCACACAATTCTAAATATCACACGATATATTACTGATGATAAAAACATAAAAACGGCTTATTTTATTTACAAACAACGTAGACGACGCGATATGTTCGATCGCGTGATACTACTTAACCGGCAGAAAGGAACACAGCTCGCTTTCCGACCCCCGAAGCTCAACTCGCCTACAGCTTCATGTTCAAGAAGGTCAGTGAGATACGGGTCGAAACGCCAGTACCGGTCAATGGTCTGACCGATCGATGAAATCGATTGCAGTGTGTAGACCGGTATTTGACCTGTACACCGTCTTCTAAATCAGTAACGAAGAGCTTAGTCTTCGATGACTGTCCTGTCTACGTTCCTCTGTGATCTGTTCGTCCTAACAAACATTCACACTGCTGATTCTAATGACGAGCTACCAAGGGTTTTATGTCAGCTGATATGCCGAAAACATGGCGCTGGTTTGTTTCAAGTGGCTTTTCTTCACGTGTTTTACCCATTATAATGTAATGTTTGTGTTGAGTGTCGATCCAAAGAGTGAAATTAAACATGAATTTAGAATTTACCATTCGCTAACAGCTGTGTAATTTGACATGCTTAGGCTGAGACGGGAAAACGACAGATTATTGATCTGTAAACAAATCTACTTGTACAGTGCAGTGAGCGAAAACGCACGCTGAATTGCGTACAACGAGCAACAGCACTGGCTTCGATCCGTTCATGATGAGGGTTAAATAAAATGACAGCACCACGTAAAGAATAACTATATTAACTTCCGGGCATAAGTGACCTCGGAAAATGTGGAAATTGAGAAAAAGAGGTTGTTGACGCTGCTACGAAATTGGCTGAATAGTCCCCGTCAAATTCTCACGTGGTAGCCGATGAAACACGGCAGACGTCGTTCAGCAGACATAGGTTACTTACCTTCACTCGGTCTTATAAACGAACAAACCGATGGAAGGAAGCTGCTTTATCGCCCTCGCCCGACTACATGCGACAGCGTGACTTCAGATCAAAGTCAAGATGCAAGTTAAACCGACTCAGCGTTAACGAACATGCAAGCGGCAAAAGATCAACTGCACTGAGGAGGCAGAGGAAGAGGATGCATCGCCGTGATGGTGGTCGACCAATGAAGACAGCAAAAACAAAGATCACGCGTGAATCACACGGTGAAGCATAAATACAATGACAAAACAAATAGGAAACGGAAAGCAAGCAAGTAAAGAGCAAAGCAGTGAAGAGGGTGTTTTTATAACGTGTCTGATGTCTGATGTGTGGTTTATTTTCGTCAACGGAATGAGGATTTGTGACGGGAAGCGGCGGCGGACGGAAACGAATGACGGACAAAGGAAAAGCGAGTGACGAGGTATAAAAACGAATCCGCTTAACGAAAGGCGGGTTAACGTTCCGACGTCCAACATAACGTAACAGCTAACAGATATCGAAATAGAACAAACAGGTGCAACGAAGGGATGTTCACAAACAAAAGACCTGGCAATAAAACTAGCCGTAGGAACCACGATGAGGCATGATGGATGAAATAACATGCTTTACGACAGCTTCGTGGCGAAACGGAAGGAGGCATAACCTCAAGAAACAAGTGGACAGCGACAGTGAGGGCAATGGGCAATGCGTTTCGTCTTCGATTGACGATAACCAATGATATAACGGCCACCGGACCGGAACATCGCCGCTGCAAGCCGAAGATGAACCACTCGAAACGGTGGGGACCAACTTCAAGTGCCGTCTGCCATCGCTATCCGCTATCCGTTGCCTCTTCGTTGGGACAGTGACTAACTGAGAAAAGACAAACAAGTTCAGAATGCTGGACTGATCTGCCGTTTGCTGTTGATGTCTGAAACCGGAAGCCATCGATCGACATGTGCCATGGGCATACTTCGTGACCAACATCCAAATCATTAACATCTTCTAGGAAGTAAAGCGAAAAAACAACGACAGCGCGCTAGAATATTTACCAAAGCGAAACGAACCACTTTTTCGTCCATCCATTGGCTCCCATCATTGCTGTCTTCATGAAGCACTTAAAATTTACCGCTGAAAATGGGGATGCATTCTATACCTAGTCCAGTTCGGTAGTTCACTTGACCTGTTACAGCATATAATGACACTCGTCGCAATTTGGCTGTTCAGTACGATTCGAACTACACTCTTGCATAGCAGATGTAAACACGTGTATTTGTCTGTTTTAAAACAGACGGCGGGCAGTTTCGCTCGCTGTTGACGTAGAATCGATAAGTGTGACAATTTCAGACTCTGACGAATATTCGCGAACGCTTTGGAGCACTTGTTATAGGCGACGATCAAACACGAGTCGAGTTAACAAGAGGCGAACGATATCCGTCGGTTTCCCATAAACTTGCAAGCTGGGTATTGCTTATAAACCCTTATTTCATCGAACTTACGGTTAAGTGCTGATCACATCGTTGACAGTGCCTTAATCGTATGTCAAACGCGAATTTTACAAATTCTAGATTATTACTTTCGTAGCTGATACTCATCTGACTGATGAAAGACGAAGGGGAATGCGCCTGCCGCGAATCCAACTTGGATGCTCATTATTCAACCAGCTGAACTACCATGACTTTGACCAGCAATAAAACGGTCAGTGGACGTAGGACATCCACTTTCACAACCGAAACACTCTTGGC